GCATGATAGCCAGTTGCTGAGTTAGGATCTGTTTCCTGCAAGTTCTCTTCAGGAATCCTCTTAACATGGTCAAGCTCCTGTGAGACTGACAATATAGCTGCATCAAAAGATACAATAGGATCTTCATTCAACCTTAGGTTAACCCTGCCATCATCAAAAATTGAACTTTTAGATAAATTTGATGTTGGCTTTTGAAAGAGAATCTTATTGTTCCTATTTCCTGAAAACCATGATGGTGCTAATGGGGAGCCTGTTTTCTGCTTGTTCAACTGCCCAGAATGATCATACATGAACGGACTTTGCCCCAAATCAATCCAGTATGAGCTCTCTGAGGAATTGTCCTCACTGAAAATTGGACTCTTCATGACCTCTTCCACTGAAATGCTCTCGGCTTCCTCAAATATGGTGCTTGCTCCATCTCTGTCAGAGCTGTTATCTTGATCTATCTCTGTTTCAAAAACATCCCTGACCTGGTTGGAAGTGAACACACCTGAAAAAGCAGGCATTTGTTTTCCCCCATTTGTTTCTTCAGGAACCGATTCTTCATTACCATTGATAGTATCATTTTCTATGGCAGCCAAAGTATCAAAACCATCAACCGAATCACTTAGGTACTGGGGGTAAACTGGGAGGATCCTCACCATTCCAGACCCTGTACGACCACACTGATTTTGTAAGGTTCCCATCACAGACTTCTTGATCAGAAGGCAACCGAATCCTGTTGGATCACATCCAAATATTCTGTAGAATGAAGTGATGATAAAATCTGGTCGAAACAGGGACAATCCAAGTGAATCCATATCCTTGGGACCCAATGACCCAGCATCAAGCAATACATGCCAATTATGTTGCTGAGCAAGTGACATCCACTGGTAAGAGTACTTAGAACCGGTGACCCTAGACTGAACGGGGAACACAAAAAGCCCATTTGCATGACCCTTCTTCCTCTTTTTCTTGTTTGCTATCATCTTTCTCAGCTCTCTAGAGCAAAGTTTCAAGGAGGGCCATTTAAACCATGCACTATAAACCTTAGCACCTTTCTTTTTAGCACTTTCTGCCATCCAAGTCACAGATTGGCTCTCATGATCAAACACGGTCAATAATTTTTTGTTAGTTTGAAAAGGGTAAGAGTCTGCCAGCAATTTGAACGCAGACCCTCTACTAACAGTAAAGACAAGACCATATTCATTTTCAGGAATATTCAAATACTCCATAATCTTAGATTTGATATCATGTTCAGCAGTACCTTGCTCAGCACCTCCATAAAGGGCATGGTTGCTCAAGTTAGCAGTTATCTCCGATAAAGTAAAAGATGATGTATCCCAATATTGTTGAGTTTGATAATAAGAAAACAGCCCAAAGCCGCAGTAATCAAGGCATACCTTAGCAGAAGACTCAGAGAGGTTTCCATACTCCTCCAATCTCAAGTAATCAACTTTGTCCGTAGATTGAAACTTGGGATACATGGTAAGGAACTTGGAGAACGCATCGTGAAGGGCAGGAATGGATTCTTTTGAGAAGAAAGTCCGGTCTGCAGCGAGAGAAGTGGCATTCAAGAATTCATTCTGAGCTCGGAGCCTAGCAAGAGATCTTGATCGTCCAATGCTCCCGTCTTGATTCAAAGGCAGTGAATCAATATCTAGAGATTTGGCGAGTGACCCATCTTCAGATGCTTCTTCAAGAGCTTCTCTCAGTTTGTTCTCCTGCAATTGGCGGAGGATAGAGGGCTTCTTCTTGGCGTCCTCGGTCAACCCAGAACGATTTCTCCTTCTGCTCTTCTTGTCCGCCATTAGAGCTGCACAATGAGATAACGGCTTCCATAGTGAAAGATGCATGAATATTTCCGTCTGTTCTTTCTCCGTAACCAATCTGACTGATATCCAGAGAGCAGGATTAAGCCAGTGTGCGCTCAGCCTGGAAGCTAAAACTCTTTATCTTCTCCAAGTGAAGCAGGATATATTTGAAAGTTTTAAACGCAAAAGGGAAAGCAAAAAGGTCTCTGAATTATTTCAGAAATCAAGCATTTTGCTTTTTGGAGGCAAATTAGTTAGCCGCAGCTGCATTCCAAAACTTTAGCTGCACCAAAGAGGAGACTTTTGCTTTATTACCCAGTAAATCATTCAAAACAACATAAATAAAAGATTCTTATCAAGACCCGATAACTTTTGCAAGATTAGTGAAGTATCCGACATGAAAAAAAAAAAAAAAGGAGGGAAATTTAAAAAAAAAAAAAAGAAAAACAAAGTGACATATCATATTAGAGTAAACCTTTAACGCGATCAGGAAAATCATTAGCTTCAGCATTCTTCAAGGGCCCATTTCTTGAGAATTCCAATTCAAAATTCAACAAACACCACATTCAATCAAGACCCAGTTATAAAAGAGAGCCAGGTTCAGTCCCGTAGAAAGAAGACATCCTGACTCTAAAATTGGGTGGGGATTCAAATATACAACACCAAAAAAGAAACACACACACACACATATATATATACACACCCAGAAAGCATCCTCCTGAAAATAATCTTCTATGGTAAAACCGATTCAAGAATGTAGATAATAAAAAATATCGTGCAAAAACAAGCAAAGAAAGAGAGAAGAATTACCAGAGGATCAAAAACCCGAATCCCAAAATTAAAACTACAGTAAGTAACACTAACTAGAGCAGTTCTAACAACCACTAATGCTCCATCACCAACCACCACTTACATCTTTTCACTCTGCACAGTCTGCTCTTCCTACTTTCTCCCGCACAAGTTTGTGGCTAGTTAGGCAGCGGCACTAGAGCAAGCTTTGAATGCAAAAGAAATGGTCTCCTGACTGCCCATTGGATTCCTCATTTAATACAAGCATCTCTACATTGAATGCTCTCTGCCTCTCGGTTGCTCAGCATTATTAGGCCTTCATATGAAATTCCAATTCTACCCTTTTAATTAACAGCCGTTACAGTTAAACGAAATTGAACGTGTAGCGGCAGCGGCAGCGGCATATAAACAAGTGGGGTCACTGTTCTTGCTCTTTTTAACTTTTTCCTCTTTGAAATTTTATTTGTCCGGGCACCCCTCTTAACATGCAGAATGTTTGGTGAAATTCTGCGGGTTATCCGCATCAAAATCTCAGTCAGATTATTAATTATTTTTAAACAAATTCAGAAATCTTATAAATTACTTTTAAATCTCTATTTAATTTAATTAAAAAATAAATTTAAGTTATATTATATTCATATTCAATTTTTTTAAATTAAAAAAAAAAATTCCTGTCCGAAGGTTCAAGAAATAACAAAAACACCCCAACAAAATTACCCTTTAATCCAATTTAAGAGTCTGTCAATTTTTTAATTTACCACCTTGAAAATTTGAATATTACCCTCAAATGTCTTTTAAAAACACCAAAAAAAAAAAACATGCTGGAAAAGTAAAAAGAAAAGGACAAGACCTGCTGAGAGTAGGGTGGCCGTGGTCGCATCCATTCTCGACCGACTCTCTTGAATACATACATACATACAGATGCAATTGTAGTATATACACACACATGCATACAAAACTCGTGCTCGTTAACTTTTTCGTTCGCATATTGTGCATTATCACAAGTGTAGCAGATATTTGTCTTTTTCCTTTTTTTTTTTTTTGCAGGAACATTAGAAAAAATATGACATGTTAAAGTAAATAAGCTTATTTTCAAACAAATATATAATTGATACGCAATTCAACACAAATTCTGTTAACTAACAGAAAGCATCATAAATTATATACAAATAAGCCACATTTTACTCTTTGGAAATTGCTTCACTGCAAGCAGAGCCCGAAGCTGCCACCATAAGTAGAGAGATGCTTTCGTTTAACGATTTGAAGTAAGAACTAACTCCGTAATTTAAAGACTAAATCAATAGTTTTACATATTTTAGAAATTAATTTTCACCAACAATTTTTTTTCTTTTTTAAAATTTTAGGGGAAATAGTGTATTATTTTTTTATAAAAAAAAAGAATTAAAAATTAAAAAGATAGCAACAAATACTTTTCTAATTCCGCATCGGGTCATTTCTGTTTCACAATCACAAGTGCCCAAGAGAAGCAGGGTAGATACAGGAAGAAAGGCCAATTTGGTTCGGATACAAGTAGTAACTTGAAGCCGTAGCTGAATTGAGCAAACCACCCCCCCCCCCCCCCCCCTTATGCGGTGTTTATGTTATTGTTGGGATAGTGATGAATGCTCGATTTGAATTTTGAATGCCATGAATGAGGGGGAGCATCTGATAT